TAATGCTTATCATTTTTAAACCCAAGACCTAAAGAAACAAAAAACGAAGAAAGAATTATTTAATTTATAAACTGATCAGCTTGGTCTTGTACAAGCTTATATATACTAGGCTGGAGAAAACTGCTGGGCTAATTTCCTCTAGATAATAGTTAATTAATCAATAATCTTGATTATAAAAGCAAAACTAATAGGAAACTGATGACTTAAATAATAATAATATATTGGCCAAAAAAATCCATAAAGAATTCAGAAATATTTTGATAATAAATACTTGAAATTGACACATAACAACTACCACCAAGTCTTTTAAATTTTGGTAATACTTTCCACAACTAGTTTTAAATGTCCAGAAAACGACCTATCTGACGTATTAAACATGATGCGAGAGAGTCTACCAAAGTCTCGTTGAAGCGACAGATATTTTAGTTAGAAATATTAATTTTATACATAATTAATGAAAATTTTAATTTTTTATTTAAAAAAATAAAAATAAAAATTATATTATAAATATAAGAATGAGGATATATATAATTTTAAAATTTTATTAAAGTAAGAAGAAGAGAAAAAATAATGTAACACTTATTTTATATTCATATCCAATATATATATTTTTATATATTTAACAAATATATTTTTATTAAATAATATAAATTATTATTTTAAATTAATTAAAATTAATATTTTTAAAATTTTTTAAAACTATAAAAATAAAAAATTATTTATATATATTAAATATCTATAAAAATAAAATAATTATAAATTTAAATTTTAAAAAATAAAAATAAAAATAATATAAAATTTAACAACAAAAATAAAATATTCTTTATCCCCCCATATCTGATACTCTAATTTTAATTATTGCTTACGATCAATTGTCAGTCGTGGAAATTTACTCTTTCATTCGTATGCCAATAGTCTCCCATGCCATCTAGAATTTAACCACCACGGACGCTTCCACATTGATAGGAATGGCAGGGGCTCCACTCTTGTAGCCATTTGTAGCTTCTGCTACAAAATATCGTAGGCCCAGTTAATATTGTGTCTAATGCCTCCTAAACCACAGCTTCAACACAAAACCTGCAGTACACAAATTAATTTTTTTAATGTTTTTCTAAACCGAACAGAAAAAAAAAATCAAAGTAGAACACAATTTTTTTAGTTTATGTTTTTCTAATATAAATTTTTTTGTTTTACTTTGCCATTGTACAAATTTTTTTTGGGGGTTACCGAATATTATTTACTTTAAATTTTAAGCTTTAGGGTATTATGATTGATTCTCGGATAAATATATGAAGATATTTTTATTGAAATATCTATTCTATGTCGCTAATACTAAAGTCAATGAATTCAATTTCTTCTTTCGTTGGGAAAAGAAGTCAACATTGAATTTATGACGCATGCTTAGGATTACGCATGCTTAGGATTCTTCTTTTTGGTCACATGGATCATGTAATGCCCCCAATTTTATATTAAAATATTTTAAAAAAGACCAAAAGTAATTGAATCTAAAATAAATCATAAGAAGGTAATTGGTTTAAAACACAAAATTGGACCCAAAAATCAAATATCCATTTAACCAGCATAAAATGGTCAGAACCCTTACTAGTGCATCAAATCAAATTTGAAGATCCCATCTTTATTTCCAAATTAACATTTAATCTAATTCAAAATTAATTAAAATCTAAGGTTTAATAGTAAAATTTAAAAAACGAGCCAATTTTGTAAATTATATAAAATTACTATCTCGAAATTTCATTTAGACAAACTTGGGGTTTAGTAAAACCCAATAGATGAATTTTAAATTGAAATATACTGAATAAAATCAAGTTCTGCCATTATTATTTATTATTAACGGAGAGAAAAAGAACACTACAGGCAATTAATATTGGTCCTCTTATCCATGAATGTTTTCGTCATAGTGCATACGTAAGCTGGGATTACGTATGCTTAAGATTCTTCTTTTTTTGTCCCATGTATCATATTATTTGCAGCAATTGTAATTGTCCTGAGTCTGTCGAAGCACGCATAAGCTGAGGTTTATCCGGGACAACGAACCCCTGACTGGACAGGAGATGCAATACCCCTTGCAACTTTTGAAGCTGAACATTAAAGATGAACATGGACAAGAAATTGAGAGATCGGGTTGGTCCTGTCAATGTACCATACACTTTGCTCTACTCAACGGGTGAAGTTGAACTCTCTGGCAAGGGAATTCCAAATAGCATCTCAATCTAAACTGAAGTTAATGAGGGCATTACTAATGTATAATCAGTGTGATGGTATGGAATCTTGATGTTTCTGTTTGTTATTGAAACTATGGTTTTGTGTTTGCTTCCGATCGAATAAAGCTATGTTTGGGGTTTTGATCTCTTAGTAATTAGCAAATTTCGTTTTTAATTGTATTTTCAGGTTAATTAGGATGCTTCAGCTGAGGCTCCTCTATCTTCTATTTCTTTGTGTTTTACTCCGTGGTTTCTTTGGGATGCCTTATCGTAATCTTCTTGGCTAGTGGGCCACCAAAAAAAAGAAAGATGATGTTGGGATCTTATCTTTTATGCTATCAGTCTTTTGATCTTATCTTGATCTCATTTTTAAATCACATTGAATAATTGATTTCAATTTAGATGTCTAGTGACAGCAATAAAAAGATCAGGCTTTCGATGCATTTATTGAAGACTTAATTGACAACAACGGGTACTTTCGCAATAAATAAGAAAAACATTAGTAGGATTTCATCCATGAAAAATAGTTCACATGCATAGAAGTTATTTATAAATTGTGGAAGTTATTTGTGAATGATGATAAAATATATATTAATCCATTAATGACCTAAAAAAATAATGGAGATGAATACTCGGATCCAAATTTAAAAATAAAAACCTCAAATATCTGAGCATATGTGGCAAATATTTGGCACATGCATAGTTTGCAATGCGTGAGCAATGTTTAGCATAAGACAAGTATTGATTAAGTCACAAAAATTCATCTGCAATGCTAGCAGTTATATTATGATTTATGGATAAAGTATTAAATTTTAATTTTAATAAAAAATAAACACCGACACGAACACGAACACGAACACGAAGGCGCTCCACTCCTTTGGCTATAATGCTTATCATTTTTAAACCCAAGACCTAAAGAAACAAAAAACGAAGAAAGAATTATTTAATTTATAAACTGATCAGCTTGGTCTTGTACAAGCTTATATATAATAGGTTGGAGAAAACTGCTGGGTTAATTTCCTCTAGATAATAGTTAATTAATCAATAATCTTGATTATAAAAGCAAAACTAATAGGAAACTGATGACTTAAATAGTAATAATAATAATAATAATAATATATTGGCCAAAAAAATCCATAAAGAAGCTTTCAGAAATATTTTGATACTAAATACTTGAAAATGACACAACACAACTGCCACCAACTCTTTTAAATTTTGGTAATACTTTCCACAACAACCTATCTGACGTATTAAACATGATGCGAGAGAGTCTACCAAAGTCTCGCTGAAGCGACAGATATTTTAGTTAGAAATATTAATTTTATACATAATTAATGAACATTTTAATTTTTTATTTAAAAAATATAAAAATAAAAATTATATTATAAATATAAGAATGAAAATATATATAATTTTAAAATTTTATTAAAGTAAGAAATGAGAAAAAATAATATAACACTCATTTTATATTTATATCCAACATATATATTTTTATATATTTAATAAATATATTTTTATTAAATAATATAAATTATTATTTTAAATTAATTAAAATTAATATTTTTTAAATTTTTTAAAAATATAGATATAAAAAATTATTTATATATATTAAATATCTATAAAAATAAAATAATTATAAATTTAAATTTTAAAAAATAAAAATAAAAATAATATAAAATTTAAAAACAAAAATAAAATATTCTTTATTCCCCCATATCTGATACAGCTCTAATTTTAATTATTGCCTACGATCAATTGTCAGTCGTGGAAATTTACTCTTTCACTCGTATGCCAATAGTCTCCCATGCCATCTAGAATTTAACCACCACGGACGCTTCCATATTGATCGGAATGGCACGGGCTCCACTCTTGTAGCCATTTGTAGCTTCTTCTACAAAATATCGTAGGCCCAGTTAGTATTGTGTCTACGCATGCTCAGGATTCTTCTTTTTGGTCACATGGATCATGTAATGCCTCAATTTTATATTAAAATATTTTAAAAATTTGTTATGATATATATATATATATATATATTTAAATTTAAATTTATAAAATATTTTTTATGAAATAAAATTATGAGATTTTTAAATTAAAAAAATAATATTTTATAAATTAAATATAGATATCTACAAATGATATCAGATTTATTATTAATCAAACGAGAACTAAGTATTATATCGTAAAAATTATTTTTAAACTCTTATAAGAGCTAAATGTTATACCATAAGTGTCATATTTAAAATCTCAATGTTTAGTATGAACTTATAATTTGTGTGTGTTTTGTATTGAATTTGTCTAACATTTAGTGTGATTCAATAAATCTATTTAGTTTGTGTTAGGTTTGTCGTGGATATTAACTCTATAATCTGATGTGATTTTGTGATTTGTGTGTTTTTTGTGTTAGATTTACTTAATGTTTGGTGTAATTTGATGAATCTATATGTTTTATATTGAGTTCAACGGAAACATCAAGTTTTAACAAAAAAATTTATAACACTTCAATCTCACATTGAAATGCTTTAAAAATTTGATATGATATATATGTAAATATTTAAATTTAAATATGTGAATTAATTTTTGTGAAATAAAATCATAAAATTTTTAAATTAAAATAAATAATATTTTTAAATTAATGCAGGTCTCCACAAATTGTATTTTAATGAGATTTACAACATCAGTTTATCTTTCTTTTTGAGTTAATTAAGATTGTAAGGTGAATCTTTGGATATAAATAAACCCAAGATTTCATTCATTTTGTCACACCAAATATAATCTAAAGCAAAAAAAAAAAGAAAAAAAAATGATTCTCGGGCGTGTTCTCAATGCTGCTAGTGATGTTGTCCATGAGGTAACCAGCAGGAAGAAGAAATCTCATAAGATCATCAGAGGCACTGTTGTTTTAGTGAAAAATAATGTTTTCGGCTTCAATACCATCCATACGACTGTAGCTGATAGTGTTTTTGAGTTAATAGGAAAAGGAGTTACTTTGCAGCTCGTCAGTGCTGACAATGCTGACCCTGGTGAGTTCTTCTCTCTCGCGTTTATTTACTTTAACTCTTGTAAGAAAGTAAAAAATTTTGATTAAGTTAATTTGTTTGTTTTCAAGCAAATGAAAACGGAGGAAAGCTTGGGAAGTTAGAATCTTTGGAGAACTGGAACCTGACATGTACTCCACTAGCCTGTGGCGATTCCTTGTATAAGGTTTCCTTTGAGTGGGATGAGGAGATTGGAACTCCCGGAGCTATCATCCTACGAAATAATCATGCTGCTGAGTTCTTCTTAAAAACTATTACTCTTGAAGATGTTCCTGGTGCAGGTCGAATTCACTTTCTTTGCAACTCTTGGGTTTATCCTGATAGAAAATATAAAAAACCAAGAGTTTTCTTCTCCAACAAGGTAATAAGCAACATTAATTTGTTATGAAAACTTGAATTACTAGGAGTTATATATTAACTTTTTTTTTTTAATTTTGTAGACATACCTTCCACATGTAACGCCTGCACCGCTGCTTAAGTACAGAGAAGAAGAGCTAAAGGTCTTGAGAGGAGATGGGAAAAGAAAGCTCAAGAAAAGGGATCGTGTATATGACTATGACTGCTACAATGATTTGGGGAATCCTGATAAGGGTGCAGAACACGCTCGCCCTGTTCTCGGAGGGTCGGCGGAGTATCCTTATCCTCGAAGAGGAAGAACAAGTCGACCACCATCAAGATCAGGTTAGACAATATATAGAAAACTACATTTAATATATATATATATATATATATATATATATATATAAAGTAATTAACACATTGGAGGACCGATGAAGGTAAGCATGCATCGGGTGCAAAGTTTTACATTTTAAGTAAACAACAAAACATTAGTTTTATTGGAGTCTAATATGATTCTTAATCTTCTTATCTTTATAGATCCCAATACTGAGAGCAGGTGTTTTCTACCGTTTAGAATTTTTAACGTTTACGTCCCTAGAGATGAGCAATTTGGTAACTTGAAGGCGTCCGACTTTGTTGCTTTTGGTCTGAAAGGTTTAGTTAAGCAAATCATTCCGTTACTTGAAGCTATTGTTGACCTTACTCCTAATGAAATCGATTCCTTTAAGGAATTAGACAATCTCTACTTCAATGGACTTCCACTTCCTACTAATGCTCTCAATCAGATTGTGAGTCAAATTCCTTTACCAATGATGAAGGAATTTTTTCGGAGAGACGGGAAACAACTCTTAAAATTTCCAGTGCCTCAAGTGATTAAAGGTAAAAAGAATTGATTAAATGTTGCTCAAAATCATAGTACTATATATTGTGTCTTAACATATATTCATTTTAATATTTTAATGACTTGGGAGCAGAGAAGAATAAGACTACTGCATGGAGAACAGATGAAGAATTCGCCAGAGAAATGGTTGCTGGAGTGAACCCCCTTCTCATTCGTCTTCTAAAAGTAAGGCTTAAACCATAATATGGCCTCTCCGTCTCCCATGTTTTCCATGAAATATATATGATATTGCAATGAAACTAGAAAACACAAAACCACAATATGGCCTGATCTCCTGCCAAGAACGCCCTTCTGTTGTCGTAAATTAGTGATTGGATTGAAATGAGATACATACAGGTTACACTGTTTTTAGATCTCAACTTAAAACTCTAAAATTAACTGCAGGAATTCCCTCCAACCAGCAAACTAGATCCTGAAGTTTATGGTCACCAAAACAGTTGCATAACCAAAGAAGAAATCGAGTATAACTTAGAAGGACTCAGTGTAGAAGAGGTAATTTGTTAATTTATCTCCAAAGAACTATCAACTTTATAGCTAATAGAAAGGAATTATGATTGCACAGGCACTGGGGAGCAATAGGCTATTTATATTGGATCATCATGATTCAGTGATACCCTACCTCAGGAGGCTAAACAGTACTACAGGAACAAAGATTCACGCATCTAGGACAATTCTCTTCTTGAGAGGTGACAGCACATTGAAGCCAGTGGCAATTGAATTGAGCTTGCCACATCTAGATGGAGATAAATTCGGCGTTGTTAGCAAGGTGTACACTCCAGCAGATCATGGAGTTGAGGGTTCTATTTGGCAGTTTGCTAAAGCTTTTGTAGTTGTGAATGATTCTGGTCATCATCAGCTAATAAGCCACTGGTAATAAGGATCTGTCAAAGAAAGCTTAAATATCTTTTACCAAGCAAATTGGTAATCAGTTTGTCGTTAATATGGTGTCGTTCAATTTGATCTCAGGTTGAACACTCATGCAGTTTTAGAGCCATTCGTGATTGCAACAAACAGACAGCTGAGTGTGATTCATCCAATTTATAAACTTCTCCACCCTCACTATCGTGACACGATGGCTATTAATGCATTGGCCAGGGAAATACTTGTGAATGCGGGTGGATTGCTAGAGAAAACGTTTTACCCGTCAAAATATTCCTTGGAGATGTCGTCACATATTTATAAGAGTTGGAATTTCATGGATCAGGCACTCCCCACTGATCTCAAGAAAAGGTAAATATAATCTTAGTGAAAAATGAATCAAACCCTCTTTTCGCTAACTAGTTAATACATATGCTTTAATGGAAATAATTAACATGGTCTTTTATTTACTATATTCAGAGGAATTGCAGTTGATGATGAAAATTCCCAACATGGTCTTCGACTACTGATAACAGACTATCCATATGCTGTTGATGGGTTGAATATCTGGTTTGCACTAGAAAAATGGGTCAGAGACTATTGCTCCTTCTACTACGAGACCGATAAAATGGTTCAAGAGGACCCTGAACTTCAAGCCTGGTGGAAGGAACTCCGAGAGGTAGGTCATGGCGACAAGAAACATGAGCCATGGTGGCCTAAAATGCAAACTCGTGAAGAGCTGATAGAATCTTGCACCATTATCATTTGGATAGCGTCTGCTCTCCATGCAGCGGTCAACTTTGGCCAGTACGCCTATGGAGGCTACTACCCAAATCGTCCAACACTCAGCCGCAGGTTCATGCCAGAGAAAGGCACCCCTGAATATTCTGAGCTTGAAAGGAACCCTGAGAGGGCTTTCTTCAGAACAATGGCTCCACAGCTACAATGCCTCACTGGCATTACTGTGGTAGAAATTCTGTCGAAGCACCCATCAGATGAGGTGTATCTTGGACAACGAACCCCTGGCTGGACAACACATTCAGTACCACTGGCAGCTTTTGAAGCTTTTAATAAGAGACTTGCTGAAATTGAAGGAGAAATTTTAAAGATGAACATGGACAAGAAATTGAAGAATCGGGTTGGTCCTGTCAATGTACCATACACTTTGCTCTACCCAACGGGTGAAGTTGGACTCTCTGGCAAGGGAATTCCAAATAGCATCTCAATCTAAACTAAAGTTAACAAGGGCTTACTAACGTATAATAAGTGTGATGTTATGGAATCTTGATGTTTCTGTTTGTTATGACTATGGTTTTATGTTTGCTTCCCATCATAAAGCTGTTTTTGGGGTTTTGATCTCTTGGCAATTAGCATTTTTCCTTTTTATTTGTATTGTCAGGTTAATTAGGATATGCTTCAGCTGAGGCTCCTCTATCTTTCTATTTCTTGTGTTTTGCTTCATGGTTTCTTTGGGATGCTCTATCTGTAATCTTCTTGGGTAGTGAGCAAAAAAAAAAAAAAAAACTCTTGGGGATCATATCTTTTATGCTATAAGTCTCTTGATCTTGTCATCATCTTACTTTTAAACCACACATTGAACAATGGGTTTCAATTGAGATGGTCAATGAAAAGCAATAAAATGATCAGACTTTCGATGCATTTATTAAAGACCCAATTGGCAACAACGTAGAAAAAGGCACTTCCACAATCAATAAGAAAAACATTAGTATGATTTCATCCATGATAAATTGTTCACATGCGTAGAATTTATTTATAAATTGTGGAAGTAACTATTTGTGGATGGTAACTCAAAATATACCACAAAGTTAATGACCTAAAAATTAATGGAAATGAGTGGTATGAAGATAAGTCACATTTGAAGTTCACATAAACACATTAGAAAATTTATACATATATGTTAGATATTATTTGAATCTAAAAGCTTAAATTATTTGATTCTTTGATCTTTTATGTATATATAAGATATCTTATTCACATTTTTTAATAATGTGAGATTTTTTATTCATATGTGAATCATCCCACCATCTTAGTTCTCCTATGAGAGTAAGTCTTAGCAACAATTTTTTTAGGTCAGGCAACTTGATGTCTTGGATGGTCTCAATACACCTTAGGCTCGACATTCAACCTTGCTACTCTATGAGTTTATGTTGTCTCAAAGCCTCTTAAACTTGGATTCAACCTCACGTCTTGAATGGTCTTAGTGCACTTAGGCCCAGTATTTAACTTTGCCTCTATGTAGTTTAGGTTGTCTCAATGCCCCTCAAGCTTGGAATCAATCATAGCACATAACCTTCCTACCTAGGGTTTCTCAGTGTTTCTCAAACTTGACAATCAACACAGCCTTAACCTTGTACTCCATCACATATTGATTCATTACAATCACCTTCTTAGGTATTTCAATTTCATACACTTGTTACATCTAAATCGAATCTTTGACTTTAATATTAGTTGATAAGGAGTTAAGTCATATTTGAAGCCCACGAAAGTACACCAGAGAGTTTATACATATATATTAAATACCACTTGAGCCCAAAAGCTTAAGCTATTGGGTTCTTGAGACCTTTATGTATATATAAGATATCTCATTCCCATTTAAAAACAAAAACATCAACTATGTGAACAAATGCCTGAAGTTTCCGTTATCAATTGTTCTCAAGAAAGAAAACTCGTACTAGAAAAGATGATCGCAAATATTGATCTTGACTTTTTTTTCATGTCTATTTTTTCCCATCTGTCTGTTTCTTTATTTCCTTTTCTTTTTTATTGCTTAAAAATGAAAATAATAAAAATATAAAGGGGGTGGGAGGTTGATTGTGACTTATGAGCATATGTAAGAAGTTGATAGTCTTAATTTATTGATGTATGGTTTCTCAGTGATCTTTTTCCAAACAAGGATGATGACTCATACTTATCAAGTATAAACGTTTAAAATGCATTTGTTTCTTTATATTAGTTTAATTGTTGAACTGTTTGTTAGAGATTACACGCAACTCTAGTACCACTTGTTAAAAAATTAATACGCACACGCAACACCCACAAATAAAATAGCAAACTCAAATCAAGAATAAAAACATACAAATATATTTGTTTCGGTCTAACTCAAAATGACATACTCCAAATCTAATTCACTATCAAATAAATCTTTACAACTGTTAAACTTTTGGAATGAGAAAAGTCTCCAAAAACTCCTTACTCAAAACTTAACCAAAAATCTAATTATACCATTTTAATAGGCTACTCACTTAGCTATTCTCTTAATATCTAACTATTTGGGACTATTAAACCAAAACCAAAACATCTTATTTATAAGGGTAAAACCCCTTATACCTTTACTAAACTCTCGATGTGGGATACAAGATAAACTTAAAACTCTTATAACTTTTGATGTGGGATTACGAGATTTAAGGTAAATCCTAACAAATCCTCCATTAACTTGAATCTCCAAACACTTTAGCAGTATCTGTAAAGCTAACACGCTTACCTTTTTTCTTTTCTTTCATCATAGGGATCTCAACAACCGAGCCTCCATCAAGCATATACAAGTGATTTTTGATCCTATTTTCTTATAGAATCATACTACCATTCTTGTACACTTTCAACTAATCATTACTATCATAATATGTATGCCTCTGAGAATCTAACTCATTTAAAGTAATTAAATTATAGCTACAACTAAGTACATACCTCATATGACAAAGCTTCCTAATAATACCATTATGAAATCTAAGGCGAACACTCTCAATGCCTTGAATTGGTACCTTTTTATTGTTAGCAACCACAATATCCCTATACTTCTCATTCTCATCCAATTCCACAAAGTAACTTCTATTATTGCAGACATGGACTGTAGCAACTGAATCCAAAACCTAATCTTTATCCCTTTTTAAAGTCTGAGTCTCATTCACACAAGTCGTTAAAACGACATCATCATCATCAGAAATAACAATAGCAGTATCACTTTTTCTTTCATTTGTATTTTTCTCATCATTCACTCTTTTGAAAGCAGTCATATCCCTTCTTAGCTTCTTGCAATACATTTGAATATGTCTATTTTCACCATAATAAAAATATTCTATGTCACTATAATCTCTGTCTCTTGACTTAGATCTTTCTTTTGATCAATTAATCATTTTTTGAATTCTTTCTCGATCAAAACCCTATACAACTAGTGTACTCTCCCCAAGTAATAAGTTTTGTGCTCTCATAAACTTTTCATTCTCACATAACAAGGTAGTCACATCATTCAACTTCAAAGTAAACCTACCCACCAATAAAATTTGAACTAAAGGTTTATAAGACTTGAGCAAAAATGATAGCAAAATTAAAGTTTTCTCTTCATCTTTTAACTCATCAATAAAAATTATCAGTAATCGAGAAATCAATCTATTAAACTCATACCTTTTTTCATCTTTAGAGAATACAGATTCATCTTCAAACATAATCTGTTAGTTAATGACTTCTATGCATAAATACCTTCAAGCTTATCCCATAAACTTTTTAGAGTACTTTCAATTAACATACTATACTTTAACTCTGTGGTTAGTGTCAATCTAATAGTACTAACAGCTTTTTTCTAAATTTTATTTCAATTATCGTCAGACATTTCCTCAGGTTTACTACTCTCTAATGCTTGATCTAACCTTTATTGTACTAACATATCTTGAATCTTACTTTGTCATAACATGAAATTACTCTTTTCATCAAATAACAAAATCTCAAACTAAGGTATAGACATATTAGACTTATTTTCTTCAAACATCTTGAAACATTGCTTCACAATCTCTTGGCCATAACATGAAATTACTATTTTCATCAAATAACGAAATCTTAAACTTAGGCATAGATATACTGGACATACTTTTTTCAGACATCTTGAAATACTACGTCACAATCTATTGGGCCCATGAACCTTAAACCTCAAACCTTGCTTTGATATCACTTGTTAGGGATTACACCATAGCTCTAAAATCACTTGTTGGAAAATCAACACGCACATGCAACACCCACGAATAAAATAACAAACTCAAATAAAAAATAAAAACACACAAATATATTTGTTTCGGCCTAACTCAAAATGACCTACTCTAAACCTAATTCACTATCAAATAAATCTTTACAACTATGAGACTATTAGAATGAGAAAAGTCTTCAAAAACTTTTTACTCAAAACTTAACCCAAAACTTAATTACACCCTTTTAATAGCCTACTTACTTAGCTATTCTCTCGGTGTTTAACTATCTGTGACTACCAAACTAAAACTAAAACATCTTATTTATAAGAGTTAAACCCCTTATACTTTTACTAAACTCTCGATGTGGGATACAAGATAAAACTCTTATAACTTTTGATATGAGATTATGAGATTCAAGACATATCCTAACACTGTTTCCATTGTTTTTACTTGTTGTTGTGCTATTTGAGGTGCAATTTCTTAAATTACATGAGGTGTATGGCATGTTTTCATTGTGATTGCAAGTGTCCACCCGATGTATTTATAGAGAGTAAAATACAAGAAATGCAACATGGTTCAAAAACAACGTTGAAAAAGGCTGCCCATCGACCAAAGGTCTCTAATGCCTGAAATTTTAACTTCAATGATGATGAATTAGATGGGGCAGATGTTGTTGCCTTCGTGTATGTAAATTCTTTTGTAAAAGGTGAAACATTTTCATTAGCCAACCAGTCTCGTGGAGAAAAGTTTAAAAGGCTTGAAGATGATTTTGATACAATTGACCAAGCCTCAAGGGTCCATGAAAGAATGTATTCAAATATTGATAGCAGTAAACATGGAATAGGGTTTAATGATTTTCATAATATTGATAGTTATGAGATAGACTCTCAGCAAAATAACCCATGGCAAAAAACCTCTTCAAATATTTACTTTGACAATGAGGCCTTTTTTAAACCTGAAGGTAACAAGGCCTTTAATGATAATTCTCTTGCTCGTCAAATGACAAGGTTTCCATCTTATAGCAAGCCATCTAAACACATGCATAGAAAAGTAACTTTATCAGACTTTAAAGATGAACTAGATTTTGATTTAGATGAAGCACTTTTAATGTATCATAATTGTAAATCAAGTCATATAATTGATTCAAAGCATACGGGTAGAGTTGCAAATGATGCATTAAAGGACTTAAGCTTTGGCTCAGAAGACCTTGATTTAGACTCCGATGGCAATGATGATTTTGACAATTTTAGATCTAAATGAAGGAAAGAGGACCAAGGGAGTTATGGTAGAGGCAATTTTTGAAAAGAAACAAGTTTTGATTTTCAATGGGGTTCTACCACTGATTCAGAATCTAAAAATGATAGTCCACATTCCAAGAGAAATGAGTCAAGAGGGAGTAAAATCGGATCCAGCAGACGAGAAAACAACATTGACGGTCGAATAAAATCACCATCTAGACGAAACACTAAGATGGATGGTGGAAGAAACTATTCCAACAACAATTTTGATAGATTATATGGAGGGTCACGGTGTTAGAAAAAATAAATAAGAGAAGAGAAATAATAAAAAAAAATTTTGGCTTTGAGGTGTGAAGAACGCTTTTTTAAAAGCTATTATGCCTTTAGGATACAACAAAACCTCAAACTCTCCAATTAGAGCAGTAAAAATGG